AAAAAAGTAAGAAATTACTATGTAGCAAGTGATGCTAGATTTTAATACTTCTAAATACTAAATGATACAGAGGTTAAAAAGTTAACTTTTGAAATGTAAGAATATGTAGAACTATACATGGATGAATTAGAACTCTAAATTATGCATTTTGAAAATATGATAGGACAGGACTGAACTTTGAAAACATGTTGACACATCAAGGATTATATAAATGCTTCAAAAATAGTACTCATCAGATATCAAGTAATGCCCTTCTTTCCCAGAGGGGTGACAGTCCATGTGCTCATACTTTTAGGATATTCATCCTTTCGCAAATGAAACAAAAATACGTAAAAAATAGAAAATTCTTGCTGGGGGGTGGAATGGTTTAAAGAAAAATGTCTAGCTGTGTGATCAAAGGGAAAATGATGAACCTTTTTTAAAAAAGCTTTAAAATTAGGGTAAACATTGTTTCATAATTAGCTAAAAATCTAATAAAAAAGCAAACACCAGTTAAGAGTTCTTTAAGGTTACTTTGTTTTTGCTTAGTGATAAGCAAATAGAATTTTACCATATAGAAACAACTTAATGGAAAAGCAGTGAATTAGATAAGCACATATTATCTACATGTAAAATCTATACAATAAATAAGAGTTGAAAAACCATTTATTAACCTCATTCTTCATTATTTAACTTGATTTCCTTGTTTTGGATTGGTTTATCTTTTATCTTCACTTTCTTTACTAATCAATCTCTTTACTCCTGTAGAAATACTCAATAGGAAAAAGAGGCACATTGAAGAGTCCCTCCTTTATTATAAAATTAAGTGATGCTTTTTCACCATCATCTATATATATATATATATATACCCCAAACTTAAAGATTAGATGAAATGATCATGTATTCTGTTGCCAAGATATAATTTTAAATAGTTACATGCATAACTTTTTTTTGGTGGTGTACAACATTTTAGCCATTTATAGGAATGTAACTCAGTAGTATTAAGTATATTCATAATGTTGTGTAACAATCTAGTTTGAGAATATTTTGTCACCCCAGAAGAAAACCCTGGACTATTACTCTCCTTTCTCTTCCAACTTCAGGCACCTATTAATCTGCTTTATCGCATTTGATTTTCCAATTCTGAGCATTTAGTATAAATAGAATGATAAAATGTGATCTTTGTGTCTAACTCCTTTCACTTAGTATACTTTCAAAGTTCATACATGTAATAGTGTATACGAGGAATTCCTTTTTATTGTTGAATATTATATGAACTTACCCATTTTGTTTACTCATCAGCTGATGACCATTTGGGTTGATCAGTTGGCAATTATGAATAACACTGCTATGTATGTTTTTGTTTGAACATCTGTTTTCAATTTTTCTGGGTGTCATTGCTGGGTTATATGGCGATTCTATGTTTAATTACTTGAGAAACCATTAAGCAGTTTCCACAGCAGTATTTTAATTTGACATTTCCATTGGTAATGTATAAGGGCTGCCATTTTCCCACATCTTTCCCAATGCTTGCTATTTACTGGTGGGTATTTGTGATTTCTATTAACATTTTTCTAATAGCTAATGACACAGAGCATCTTTTGTGCTTGTTTATATTTGTATATCTTTACCCTACTGTATCCAATTTTCTCTTGTATGTAAAAATGCAGTTGTCCCAGTATCATTTGTTGAAGACACCATCCCCCTCGCCCCCATGAATGGTTTCAGCACCCTTCTCAAAGTGAAAAGAACAGAGGTAATCATGGGTAAATTTTTTGGCTCCCCTTTTTATTTCATTAATCTATATGTTCTTATGCTAGGGCCTATTTTTTAGTAGCTTGTACTGGATCGTACCAACATATCCATTACTACCACATTGTAATAAGTTTCAAAATCAAGTCTGATTCCAACTTTGTTCCTCTTTTTCAATATTGTTCTGACTATTCAGCGTTCCTTTGCAATTCTGTGAGTTTTAGAATTGTTCATTTTTACAAAAGGCCATTGAATATTACGGGTTTTTTTTTTATTTTTTAACTGCATTATCTTCTGTTGAAGTATGTTAGTACATAACAGTATGTATATTTTGCAGTTACAGGTTGACACCTCTTCAGATGTGTGTTACCATACCACACTTACCACCAAGGCACCCAAAATACTCCAGTGGGTTCCCTACAAACTCTGTTCCCCACCCTCATTCTCTCAATCTCATAGCCTCAATCCTATCATCAGATTTCTAAGGTTTGTTTTGTTTGGGTTTGTTTTGTTTCTCTATATTCTACATACAAGTGAAGTTATACAGTATTTGCCTTTCTCCTTCAGATTTATTTTGCTTGTATATTTAGTAGATGTCAATAGTGAATTTACTGATGACTTGGTACATAGTTCTATTTTAACAATATTAAGTTCCAACAGATACACACATATTTTTTGATTCATTAGGGTCTTAAAGCTTTTGTTGTCTGCATCATACACAAAAATTCAATGCCAAGACAAAAGATTTTTCTCTGTACTTAGAGGAGTTCTATGGTTTAGATTTCATATTTGTCTTTAGTCCACTTCAAATTGTCCATTTGTGAGTTGTATAAGATAGGAATCATTTAACTTTTCTGCATCTCGTTTTTCAAGTCCCATTTATTCAAGAGAACTTTCCATATGCTTTCAATGCTCTCATGAAAAATGAGTTGAATCTACATGCATGGGTTTATTTCTGGATTCTCTATTCTGTATGTCTGTTTTTAACTGCTTTGTTAGCATAGCCTGGTAATAAAGAATGATGTCAGAAAATGTGAAGCCTCCAGCTTTATTCTTGTTCAAACAAAATTGCTGTTGTCTAGCTGGGGTTTCCATAATTCCATATGAATTTTAGTAATTTCTTTTGCTCTATGATACATATCAATGGAATTTTGATAGGGATTACATTAACTCTGTGTTGAGTGACACGGTCCTTTTAAGAGCAAATAGTTCCAATCTTTGACTCTGAGATATAGTTCCATTTATTTATGTCTTCATCAATTTTTCATTGTCATAAATTTTTGTGTTCAGGCTTTACACCTCCTTAAGTTTATTTTCAAGTATTTAAGTGGTTATTCCAAAGGAAATTATTTTCTTAATTTCTCTTTCAAATAGTTACTAAAAACACAACTGATATTTCTTTATCCTGCAACTATACTAAATTCATTTGTTACTTTGTTATTTTTTAAAAGGTTTTTGCTGGAGTTCTTAGAGTAATATAAGAATGTGATTTAAAGACAATTATACCACCTTTATAATTTATATATCTTTTATAGTTTTGTCTAATTGCTCTGGAAAGGCATTCCAGTACTAAATTGATTAGACTGGGGTGGGGCGAGTGGGCATTTCATTCCTGATCTAAAAGAAAAAGAGTTTTTTGTGCATATCAATTGTTTTGTCATATATAGCCTTTTTATTTGAAATACATTCCTTTTATAATTAGTTTGTGGAGAACTGATAATAAAAGAATGTTTTAAATTTTATTTTTGCATCTATTTCAATGACAGTATTTGTTCTTTTTTTTTTAGTATTCGTTCATTTCTGAAGGGCATTTTGCTGGGTATTGTTTTTTGATCGGCAGAATTTTTCTTTCAGCACTTTGATTATGGTATTCCTCACATTCTTTCCTACAGGGTTCCTGGTGAGAAATATATCTCATTGCTTTAAATTTTTCTCTTGGTTTTTGACCATTATTTATAACGTGTCTTGTTCAAGACTTCCTTATGTTGAATATGGGAACTGAGGAATTTCATGAATCTAAATGTCCCTATCTTTCTTAGATTTGAGGATTTCATTCATTATTTCTTTAAATGAACTTTTTACTCTGTTTTCTTCCCCTGTTGGAAGTCCCATAATGTTTAAGTTGATATGCTTGCTGGTATTCCATAGTTCATGTAGACTTTCTTCACATTATAATACTGAGTGGGGGAAAAAGTGATCTCAGCATTTGTTGAATGTAATGACATAATTTGCAGACCTGCTTTGTTATAATTAAGCTTTTGTTCTAATAATCTTAGAACTCTAAATGAAATAAGCAGTGATGTTAAGGGAGGAATTTTATTTCATAGGTAAAATGTGAGTAAATTCTGTAGATATACACCTAAATCCTGTTTGAGACTATATAGCTAGCATTCTTAACTAACACAGTTATACATGGCCTATTACTCAGATTTTAATAGAAAATAGCAAAGCCTATAAAAAGTTTAAAATAACTTATTAAATCCTTTGTGTTGCACTACAGAAAATTTAAATGCAGGTTTGAAAGTCAAAGTCTGGTTTACACGCTCTCATTCTTTTTTTGGCTCTCAGGCTTCTAGTACACAAGTCAGGCAAAATTTTCATTTCCTGTCTAATATATACAGGGTGGTTGTGAAGGACAAATGTCATACGTGAAAGTGCTTAATATAATAAATTATGATCACACATTTAATAGTTGGATTCCTGTATTTTTTGTTCTCAAGAAAGTGTCAGTGATTAACTCACTCAGATTAGAAAAACTAAGATTTATCAGGGAATGAGGTTTTGATGTTACTCTTTGTCCAGAGGGAAAAAAAAGGGAAAACTGGCTGTGGTGGCTTAAGTTTTGGATTTATAGTCTGGATACTGGATGACTCTTGTAAAGTTGGAGAGAAATGAATTTTTAGTTCTGGGGTGTTGTGCTCAATGTATGATGCATTTGAGGCATGCTTATCTAGTCAAGTATGCTTTAGATTTATATCCTGGGAAGAACTTCCATTCCCCAGGTGAGGTGCCTATAAGTTGTAAGGTCCATTCTTCCAGTTCCCTGTCCTTTACCCCCATATCTAGTTGTAGTTAATAAGAACAAAACACTATTTTGTAGCCATACACATCTTTTATAACCAAAACTGCAATTACTATTCAGTACACGACAATTTTCATGCAAATGCCTTATCTCTATACAACCCTAAGTATTCTTTAACATTTCAGTTTTCTCTTACTTACACTGTAGTTTTCTTTACTAATGAGTGAATAGTTCTAAAACATGAATCCATAATCACATTGTCGTTTATTTCAATCCTGTAGCACATACACGGAATATAATTTGCTTGAAAAACACTTCAATGTTTCCTTTGTTCTTCAGTGCTAATATTTAAATTTAATCATCCACTTCTATAAATTAAATTTACTAGAAAAACTCACATTTAAAAAATCATATAAGCATAAGCTAGATTATCACAGTGAACAAGAAAATGAACTCAAGAACTCAAATTAGTATGACAGGAACACTTTATCTTCACGGTAAACATTCACTTTATGTAAATCCCACTTGGCTTCATTTAATTAAAAAGCTGAAAAAGAAAGAAAATGTGCTGAAAATAAGGAAAACACAATATGCTTTTCATTCCATTCTAAATTAGCACAAATAAATATAACATAAACATGTCATAATTATATCAATTTACCTCTCCTAATTTTTATAGCAGAGCAACTTCTTTTAACTACTTCCTGCTAGGGGAACCTGGGTTAGTGAGGAGAAAAGGTTAGGGCTGGGAGAAGATATTGATAAGAAATTGAACTTGTGCCCTTAAGTCTGGGTAAAATACCCTTTTCTATGACTGGCTACACCAAGAGTTAAATTATAATTTTTTATTTATTTATTTTAGAATAGATTTTTTCTTTTAAAGATTTATTTATTTATTTATACAAGCACTGGTTATAGTCAGAAGCGCGGGAGGGTGAGAGAATTCACCAGAGTCATAGAGGACAGCAGAGCAGGCAGACTGACGAAATACACTACTGAGGGGAGCAGTGGGTGGCAGAAAGGTCTGAGTGCCATGTGGGACCCTCACCCCACGGCTGGGGATTGAACTGGTGCTGCAGAGGCTGCGGGCAGCATTGCAACCCAGTGCTCAACCGCTGCGCCACAAGGGAAGGCCCGAGAAAAATTAGAATTTAAATGGGCAGCAAAGTAGGGGAAAAGAAGGGAAGAGATTGGAATAAATGTAAGTAGGTTATTTAAAAGTTTTAAGGAAAATATTTCCCATTTATTCAATCTAATTTATTTAAGCACCTGATCTTTTAAAATATCATTATTTTCATTATATCATACAGCCAAAAAGAATATATAAATTGTTACAAAAATGTGACCAGATTCTGGCAAAACACCACAAATATATGCTTGCATATATAGAAATAAATGTCAAAGGTAACTATTCTTTATGCAAAGTTTAACTTCTTTATGCAAAGCTTTGAAACCTATGAACACATTTAAGATTGTACTAAGTTAATGTAGAAAACATTTACTAAGCTTTTGTTTGATATCTGTAATTTGGACTAATGTGTATTTTTTTAAGTCTTGACAACATAACCATGCAGCACAATCAGGCAAACCAATTTTTACTTAAATATTAAAGCAAAGATGAAATTAAAGGTTACTATAGTTGAAAAGCCATGCAGTTACAGAACTGTTTAAAATACTATATTTAATAATGGGATGCTTGAATTACAATGTCCTAGGCATATATTGTTTTGTCTTTCTGAACCTTGGTTTCATCATTAATGAGGAAATCGCTTGCTTTGTATGCTCTCCCAAGTTCTTTATAGTGCTAGTATTTTTTAATACTACTGACTTTGTGCTAAAAGCAAATGCATTTTTAAACTTACTATAAAACAAATTTACATAATATACATTTATGTCATTATAAAATGGATATGATAAAATATGCAATACAACTTAAAGTAATTATTCTGTGTATCTATCTTTGAGAAATTACTAAATTAAAATAAATCATATGTTGATACCCAAATATAACAAGACATAGTTTCTATTTTTCATGGTAAGTTATACTGAGTATTGCAAGAGTAACCACCTCCAGAGAGAATGTCAGTAGTAAACTTAGTCAGAGAATTAAGCTATAGCTGCTGTTCAACCCACATAATCCTTAGCACTACTGATGGCAATAAAGGTACGTGTAATTTACAGATGAACGTATTGGCTTTTTTATCTTTAATTACAAGATAGCCCTTATGATAAACCTAACAGAAGAATAAGGGTTAATGAAAACCAAACAATCATGGAATATTTTAAACTGTAATAAATTGCAAAAATTGGGACATAAACAGGATTTGTAGATTTTAAGGACTGATCTGAAAAATTTTAAGTACTGGAATACTAAAGGTCACCTTTTATCACTGCTTAAGATATTACCACCATAAAAGCTAAAATAGTCACATGAACCTTTATGATTATTTCATAACTTTTTGGAGATAGTTTAAAAAGGTTCTATTCTTTTTAGATGTTGCTACATTCACAGAGTAAAAGGATCTTTGCATTTCTTAAATTAGACTAAGAATCCTAAGTTGCCACAATATTCATGCTGGCTAAAGATTTTGCAAATTGAAATACAAAAAGTATTTTCAAAAGCTATTACAAAAATCTTTTCCAAAATGAAAAATACGTATTTAATTTTGAACTTATCTTGACAGTCTTACAATAAAATAAACTGAGTACTCCTATCTTATATTAAAAAAATTAATAAAGTCACAGAAACTTTAAAAGTATTTTTTTAGACTTAAAGCACCAAAGTGTCAACATTTTATCTAAAATGTTGCTTGGAAAAGGATGAACTACTGTTCTCTAGGTAATCGTTTAATAGTTCATGTTTGATTTTTATTTTCAAAGTGTGTTTCAATATTAGATTTCGGAATATTTGATAATGATTTCATCACTCAAGTGATTAACACCTTATTCCAATCTATCAGTGTCTGACATATTTTTTCCCTCCTTTATATTTACCTTTCCAATAGTTTTGATTAAAAATCTAGCATTCCTCATAGACTTAACTTTCTAATAGTACTTGGATATTATCTTTTCTAATAAGGATGCTTATAAAAATGTATAAAATTCTTTTGCATCACACTTAAAAACTGTCAAACACCAAAATTTGAATATATTCCTCTTCTTCGGAATGTATTTTTCAGTGTTGCAGTCTTTTTCTTCAGAGTGGCAAGTTGCTTTGGTTGCCACCATCAGCTTCTGTCAAGAATGAATCTCTAGTTCATGGTAACCTGCACATTCATTAACACTTACTGTTGAGAATGGCTTATTCTGCAGTGAATATATGATGGTCAACATGAACTCAGATAGCAATGTCAGATGAAGGCTATTTGGCAGCCATGACTTTTCAGAGGGAGATGAGATAGCAGGCCAGAACCAGTACAAATATGCCCCAGTTGCTCCCTTTCATATCCTTAAGAGATAACATTATTTCTTATCTGCATATCTTTATTACTGCTTAAAATACATCAGGGCTGCATAGGGACATTGTGGACACAAAGAAGGAATGGGATGTAAATCTCAAAACACTTCTCTTTAAGTATCTCTTTATTGTTCCCTCATATGGCTAACTTAGGATTTAGATAAAAAATGCTGTCCTTGACTTGCTGAAGAGTTATGTTCCAAAAGTTTACTAAGTAAGCTGAAAGTTTGAAACTTAAAATAAGTTTTTCTAGAGAAACTTCAAAGTGATAGCTATTTTCTCAAATTCAGGCCAAAAGTCAGTTTAAATCAGTATTTGATGACATTTTAATGATTATCTTTTGTGTTCAAGAATACTGAACATAGAATGGTACTGCAGAAAATGGAAAGTTTGAAAGTCATGAGCATTACATTATATTTCTATTTTAGAGGAAAGACCTAGGTACAGTCAAACTGTTCCAGTGTTTTAAAGACAAGTCAACGAACGAAACTCAATTTGAGAACAGTATAAAAGAAGGAATGGCTAAAGAAGCTCAATGAAAACGGGCACCAAAGCATGAAAATACATTAACTACTGTCTAAACCAGGAGTGTGCACACGTACATTAAAAGGCTAGAAAGTAAATATTATGAACTTTGTGAGTCATAAGTTTCTGTGGAAACTGTTCAACCCAGCTTTGCAGTACAAAAGCAGCCAGTCAATACATACATAAACAAATCTGTCTTCCAATAACACTTTAGTCATGAACACTGAAATTTAAATTTTTAATTAATGTCATAAAATATTTCTTTTTACTAACTCTAAGAATTACTATTTAGTTTATGCAGCATATAAAGATAGGCAGCAAGCTGGATTCTGCCCACAAGCAGTAGTCACTGTTTCATAAAATCATAATTTATGTTGTAGTCTATATTAAAGAAGAAATGGAAGAGACAGATGAAACAAAAATTATAGGTATTTAAAGTGACTTATATAATAGAATTATTATGCAATTAGTATACTATTGGAAAAGAGTAGTTAATGGCAATGCAATATGCTCTTGGTGTATGAAAGGAAAAAAAAAAAGAAACACAATAGTATGGTGTAATCCTGTCGTAGGTTCAAAATATATACCAGCAAACTATTTATTAGTAACAAGAATTCTGGGATTATGAAAAATGTTTTCTTCATTTTGCTTATTTACATACTCTAGAATAAACATGTATTTTTCCTGCTCTTGTTATGATGGATTCTGATAAAGTAATACTATTTGTGCATATCTTAAAGAATAATTCTACATTACTCTAGAATAACTGATGGATTATGAAGGAAAATGCCCATATATAAGGAGATCATTTAGGTGGGTAGGTGAGTCTGAAAAAAAAAAAAATACTAAGTGCATCAATTAAGCCAGCAGCAGGGGGAAGAGAAAATGATGGAGGCTAAATCAAATAGCAAGCATAAAATGAGATAAGCATAAAATGATTCCAAGGTTTCTATCTTGTATGACTGTTGTAATATGCATCTTAGGGAAAACGGGGAGAAGGAACAGGTTTGGAAGCAGAAATGGGGGTGGTGTTGAACATATTGAAGGTAAAGTGATAATGTGATACTCAAATCTGGTTCTAGATCTCAGCAGAATGGCCAAGACGTAACATTTATATTTAGCAGTGAGAAGTAGTCTAAAAGGGCAATGGAAGGCATGAGTGCCATGTTACAAAATTTGGGGTATATTTTAATTGAGGTAACACAGATTTATAATACTGTATGTGATGAAGAGATACAGGACTGGGTTATAGTATTTTAAAGAGGAGCTGGTTAAATAAAGTGCTGGAAAGGTTATGTGGGTTGTAGGGATGGGAAAATAACTCTGGAGTTGGTTATTGTAGTCAAGGGAGACCCATATTACATGTAAAAGATGCTTTTGGTTTTTTTTTCCCATACTGTGAAATACTTTAACAGGCTCCAAATAGTGATTTTTTTTTTTAATTTTTTGGTTTTCAGCACCTTAATTTCTGTCACTGATCTTTTGAAAAATCACAATGCACACAGTTCTCTTGAATAAGTGAATTCTGTCCAAGTGGGAGATGGTTACATTCTTTAGTATCTTCA